TCACACAAATCACTCATGAGTGTATTTAAATATATTTACATATAGAAAATTTAGACTTCAATTTTTACACTATTGTTATGCATGAAAAATTTATTTCTTTAATATTAAAAAGAAAATCTTTATGTTTGATGTCTGTATACTCCATAAATGTCGGCATGACTCTCAAAGCATCTGAACGGCCGAGGCGATTGTTGGACAACTAAGACATCCTATCGCTCTACTGCCAACTGCGTGGTCAAGAATCGATCGACGCGCCATGGCAAGAGATTCGAGCGACAAACCCGACCGACTGAGAGGTAGGCAAGAATCCTTGATTGCGGTTAATCGGCCGGCCTGCATTTACTGAGGCAGACGAGATCGACATTCGACTGGGTGCCTTAGCCGAACAACATGTATTTTAAATAACACAATTGTCACTCAGTTGGTCTCCTCAATTAACCGAATTCAAACAAGTCAACCAACTATTTACCGTCATGTGAAAATTTAATTTGTAAATACATATATGGTATGAAATTCATACGATTAATAAAATATTCATTGGATTAAGGGTGATTTCCATAACCGTTCCCTCTTTCGGTAATTGTACAAAATACTTTCCTATAAATAGGAAGCAAAAATATGAATCTCTTTTCACGGTATCCTCTATAGAGAATTCTAAACTTATTCTATTCTCTTCCTTCCTTCCTTCGTCTGACCCTAACTCCCAAGGCGTATTTCTAAAAGACATATTATGATCCAACATCTTAAAAGGTGGTGCAGTGAGCGTGGATATGCCACAGACGAGAAGTGGGAAAGACTATGAAGGAGAAACTTTCTAATGAGAAATAGCTCGCATGAAATCCAATAGAGATATTACAAAACCAGACATCCATGTACAAGTCCAGGGCTTACAAGTCCAAATGACCCATTATGATGGAGTAATCCAAGATCCTTCTGGTAGCAGTCACCCAGAGGAACAAACATCCACTGCGTTTGAAGGTGGAACCTCAAGTGTCCGCTCTCAAAGGTCCCTACTGGAGAACCCGCCCACTCTGAGTAACCGGGTCCACGACCAATGAACAGAGGGACAAGGCGAGTCCCAACACACTAACACCAGAGCATTCCACTGGCGCTGAGAAGAGCAGATGCGAGTGCCTGTTCGGCAGCTCGCAGGAAGCACATTTACTAGCCAAATCAAAGAGTTGATATCTCCACCCAAACTAAGGATTCATCGCCTAAGCTCTTACAAAGGGAGGATTGACTCGATCGATCATACCTCATCATTCGAATCATCCATCGATCTGGTTTAGTCGATAACCCGATAATGTGTCATTTATTTTTTACCACCCTGAAGGAATTGACACTTCAGTGGTTCAACGGTCTGCAGACTGATACCATCCCAAGTACTTGGAGTTTAAGAGACTCTTCGTTTCACACTTCTCAAACATACAGAAGCCGAAGGAAGGTTCAGACATCCTACTCGACCTTAAGTAGGAAGAAAACAAGAGCCTGGGAGCCTGCATCACCAACTTCAAGAATGAGATGCTTGAGGTTAGAGATCTGAAGCCCAATAAAGTTGGAACAACCTTGAAACGAGAAGTCCAAAGCAAGCGGTTTAGGTATGACCTAAACCTATCTAAACCCGTTAATTTTGCAGCAGTATTATAGATGGTGAACGAGCACTTACCCACCGAAGAAGATCTCTGGGACTCTATGAAAGGTACACCAAAATCATCTAACCATCCCTCAAAGAAGCAGAAAGAGCAGCGGGAATCGTAGAAGGCAAGGGACAATCTGTCCTCTGCTAGTCACCAAAACAATAACTATCGGTCAACGAAAAAATTACTGAGGGAATCATGACCGAAAACGTATCTTTGACTAATGGTTGAACCAATTTTATGAGTGGTTGTACGTCTACTGAGAAATCTATGGTTTGACACCCCTCAACGTGTCAATGGCTGAAATAGTCCATGCCATCCAACAAAAAAAAAAAAAAAAACTATTTCAAACCAGCTCCGACACTTATGGTGGTCCCAGCCTTACGAGATCAAAAAAGGTACTACCAGTACCATCACGACCATGGTCACGACACGGAGGAATATAGTCACCTCTGGAACTTGATTGAGGAGCTCATTCGCACCGGGAAGCTCAAAGAGTTTGTCGGCGCACATTTGCAGCGTAGGGCAAGGTTGTGGCAGAATAACCCTTAAATGGATCTATACATGCCAATTAGGTCCACATAGCCGGGGTAATCTCGACCAACTTTGGGGGAGGAACTTGACCCTCCATCGGGAAGAGACAACGTTCGGGAGAGTTATGCTTCATCGTCCCATAACACATAATCATTTGCCAATTGTCTTTACAGATAGATCTCCCATCGAAGGGGAACCCCCTGCAATGAAGCGATCATCGTCACAACACTAATTGGTCAACGTCTCCGTGACAACCTCCGTGCTTTCTAGAGAGACCTCGAATTGGATGATAAACATCCCATCGGCTTGTTCTGAATCCCCCAAGCATCATAACAAGAATCAACCAAAAACTTCTTCTTTCAATCCTTTATTTTATTTTCTTCTATTAAGTGGAGCTACTTTCTCATTGTGAACATGTCGAAGCCCTCTCTATCGACCTTGAACAAGAAAAAATATTTAAAGAGATAGATATTCCACGGAATACCCTCCAGCCGACAGAAAATAACGAACATCATTATTGCAACAATGGAGTTCGACATCACCTACGCCCGGAATAACTCCTTATGTGTTAAATATGCTCAGGAGCTCATTACACAAAGGCAACCGAAGGCCGTATTTAAACTAGTCCTAGTAAAAGACCAGGTCCTTACACAGAAGGTATATTGCTCGCGCTGACCCTGACAAATTCTGAAGGCTGATGCTGTCTTGCATGACATTCATCCTCTGTAACTCCTTCACTTCGTTCTCTTTTAAGAATGAAGAACCAATACCCTTAACAGAGCCGAAGAGAGTGGGAGAATACTTTGAGGCTATTGTAGAAAATCGAAGACGATCGAAAAGACGAAATAAGAAAGAGGAAGAATCAAGAGCTTAGATGCTAGAATCGAAATGCCTAAAGTAAGAAATAACGGTCCTCGCCAATGGTGAGTAACAAACTAAACATATTTTCAAATATATTCAAATGTCTTTTCATTTCCAAATAACATTATTACATCTTTAAAATGAAATGCTTTATGAGCAGGTTTTCCAAGGTCTCAGGCGGAACATGGCCTTTCTGAATGAACCTTCAAAGGACCATCGCCCCTCCTATCATAGCCTGCTCCATTTGGCCAGCCTTGCGATGGAATTTGGACAGGTCGATCGACTCCCAAAGTGCCCTCAACACACCCCCCTCAGCACACCCAACACCTCAGTCAGGCCATCCCTCAAAACAGCAACCTTTGCCTCAAGTTCGCCATGACCGAGCTCATGAACACCGAAGGAACTGAGACCTCTAGCACATGATCAGTGATCCGGCCAAGGGAGGGCAACTGATACTCCATTCACTTTTGTCCAGTATCAGTAGCAGACGAAGGAATTGGCGGCTGGTATCCTTTCGAAATGATTGTCGGTAGGACTCTCACAAGCTCGACCTGCAGAACGACCACTGTAGCAATGGTCTTTGCAGTGTCTTTCGACTGCCCACCATCCTGGTAACCCTCCAACTCTTCCAATTTGTTTGCACATAGGAAATGTCAAGGGCTATTAAATGATTGGCGACAACCAAAAAAGAGCCTTTACATACTCATGAATCTATCCATTGAGGAGATGGTCTCCAGACATCTTCCCCCATTCTTTTATTGTAAGGTGCCTTTGACTTCCTACAACAGCGGTTGTGGAGAGATACTAATCTCTGCTCCTTCCGGTCTCTTTTCAACCTCCTCTATGCCTTTGACAGAGCAAGGTCTCTTGGCCCTCAAAGCTCGCACCCAAGCTCGACTCAGGAATCACAGTCTTCCAATGGGGGACCTTTGAGCCCAGCAAAAGTTTGGTCCTTGAACATTTTACTTTCCCAATCTTGATCTTCTTTACAGAAGTCGAAGGTCTGTAGCCTATTTTGTCAGAATCTTGGGGTGGACATGGAGTTTCCTCATATAATCATCCATGACTCCAATTGGCTGATCAGAGGAAAATGACGACAATAGATGCATTCTCAAGCCTATGACTCTATTTATAAAAGCATATTGGGCACAAATTTGAGGCGACTTGATTAGTAAATTAAATTTTGTGATTTTAGTACCATTGAATACTAATAATTTTCTAGTTCTTATCAAAACTGTCACTTTCAAGGAACAAAAATATTCGGGGAACAAATATTTATACCCCATAACCGTGGGCATGAATATCAAAGCATTCGAACGGCCCAGACGACATCCAAAAACCAAGTGTTCTACCGCTCTACTGCCAACCGCGTCGTCAATAATCAACCAATATGCCATGGTGAGAGACTCGAGCGACATACCCGATCGACCGAGAGGCAGACAAGAATCCTTGATCGCGGTTAATCGGCATACCCGCCTTTACTGCGGCAGACAAGATCGACATTCAACCGAGCGTCTTGGTCGACCAACACAAATTTTAGAGAGCATAATCGCCACTCAGTCAATCGCTTTAATTAGGCGAATTCAAACAAGCTAGCCAACCAATTATCATCATGTTAAAATTCAAATTGTAAATATAGATATGATATGAAATTCGTACAATTAATTAGATTATTTATTGTATTAAGGGAGGTTTTCATAACAGTTCTCTTCTTTCCACAATTATATAAAGTACTCTCTTATAGATAGGAGGTAAAAATAAGAAAAAGATATCTCTTTTCCGAGCTCTTTCTATAGAGAATTCTAAATTTATTCTACTCCTGTTCTTCGTTCAACCCTAATTCCATAGCCTTATCCACAAAGGACATATGAGGATCCAACAATGAGATATATAAAATTTAAGTGGTATAAATATAAAAAAAATAAATATAGAACAAATACTAGAAAACCACTAAACCCTACGAATTGCATAACCCCTCTAAGCCCTCTCTTTCGGCCATGTGCCATGTGAGGTAACGAATAAGGAGAGGAAGAGAGCAGAGAACGCGGCGAGAGAGGAGAGACGAGTGAACGCGAAGCCGCTTGCCCTTAAAACCCTCACAAACTCTCTCTCCCCGCTTCTCTCTCTCATCCTCTATCTTAATTTACCATCGATCCTTCAGGAGGCCTTGAGAATTAGGTATCTTCGCGGCAGATCAATCATGGCGGCGGCAGCGGAGGAAGAGGCGCCATCGAGCACGGAGGCGCAGCCGGAGATGCATCGTGAGAATGAGATCTACCTGGATAGAAGAGAGTGTAATGGAGTCCCGGCCAATTTAGGGGAGTTGCGTTTCGAAACCCGAAATCCCGGCAGCTCGGGCACCAGCAGGGTGGCGTCTGGGAGTGGCGTGAGAGTTGTAGAAGCGAAGAATGTCGCTCCGGGGAAGAGACCGGTGGTTGGGGAGTTTCATGAGCATGGTTTTGATCCGGAATTAAGCTTCAGGATTAGATTCCAGAAAATCGTGAGTTTGATTGGGCTTTTCGTCTGGCTTTTCTCTCATGTTTGCAAGCGATTCGAAAATTGTTACTTTATGGGGTTCTCCCTCCCCTAATTATCTGGAGGAGGAGCTCGAATAGTCTTTATCTCGTTTTTTAAATCTTTGGGTTTTGGTTTGGATGTTAACTTGCTTTTCTTTCATAAACAAATATGGGGTGAGTTTTTATTTTTCTGTTTGTTCTGCGCGTGATGCTGTTTGGTGGAATTTTTGAAGCTTGCGTGTTGTGATTATGGTTTGTTCATCGACAAAGTTTTATGTTTCATGCATCTAGTATATGAAAGGTTTATAAATGAAAAAAAGATGATTTTTCCTTTTTTGGCAGGGCGCTGGTTTGGAAAATCTTGGAAACACTTGTTTTTTGAATTCGGTTCTGCAGTGCTTAACGTATACGGAACCTTTTGCGGCGTATTTGCAGAGCGGGAAGCACAAATCTACTTGTAAGTTTCCGTTTTATTTGTTTGGGCATAATGGCTGTAACACTGTATGTAGTTTTTGCACCATATGCATAGTTATCCCTGATATATTTTGTTTTTAGTTCAAGGCAAGTACTCCAGGGACCTAAGCTTCCATCTCACATGAATTCAAAGTTGAAACCTGCATTTAGCAAGCAAGGTTTTAATTAATTTAGTTTTGTTTTTCTTTATCAATGTACATACTGTTTAGGCGCCTATAATGAAAAAAGTAGTCTACTTACATGTGTATCTATGCTTTTAAATTTTGATGAACTGTGGAATCATGCAATAGTTAGTGTGCCGATATCTTGCATGCTAGAGGTGAAGCATAAGAGAATTCAATTGTTAATATTTTGTATCAGTGTGTAACATATGAATCTTCATGTGGTATGTGTTACGTGCCCGAGTTTGCGACCTTGTAGCAGTTTTGTGAATGGGTAGAGAACAAGGATCGTCCTTGCGTGCTCTACCTATGTTGGTAATATTATAGGATACTTCTAGGGATCTTCGGCCTCTTTAGTTGGTTTAATTCGAGAAAAACCACAACTCCGAATCAACACAAGGTTGAAAATAATACTTATCAGATGATCTTCATTATTGGCCTCATGCTAATAAATAGCCGAACAGCATTTGTATGGAATAGACAATAATCCATTCTTATGGAAAGGAAAATTACAATAGTATAATTCTAGCACTAATTTATTGAAAGGAAATAACATTGATTGAAATAACATTAATGTAATTATTGATGGTAAGCATCAATGACTCCCATCTCATTTAATGTAATTATTGTTGGTAAGCATTAATCACTCTCATCTCCTGATTCTTGGTCCCTGACAACTCTTTCCTTCTTAAAATTTTCTTTGTTCTCAAGGAAAAAAACGTGTCTTCAATTCTGTCAGATTCTCCCTTGTGGCCTCGGCAAGAGAAAGATTTTGCCAATGAACAAGAACTTCAATTTCTCCACCTTTTGTGCAAGTTTCCAAAATGACTTGAGGAAATGAGGATATCGATAAGGCTTGACTGAGATTGGATTAGCTCCATTTTCCCATGAAATTTTATGGTCTTGAGATAGTTGAGATGGCAAGCCTTGAATCTCTTGAAATATGGCCGAATGTTGATTCAAATTAGCCATTAAATCTAGATTTAAATCGGTTGTTGCAACTCCTTGCTTCTCTCCCAACTTTAAGGAATTGAATTGTAATAAAAAAAGCTCTTTTTCGTTTTCGCAACTGCTCCTCTAGATCATGACAATCCATGATTTTATTGTTAGGCCCTTTGGTCCCGCGTAACTCTATTGTTTTCCCCTCTCACCAAAACTGCATCCATAGATCATTGAATTCCCAAATAATTGGATCCAGTTTTTTAAGCCATTGAGTTTCGAAAACAGCATCACATCCTTCCACTGGTAAAAGGTAAAATTCTACGTGAAATTGAACCTTTTGCACTAAAATAGGGAGCTTTTCACACAATCCTTCACTTTTCATCTTATTTCCATCCGCCACTTGAACCGAGAATTCTTCTTTCTTTGCAGGATAAATTCTCATTTTGGTAGCTAACTTTGAATTCATAAAGTTATAAGTGCTACCGGAATCCACCAATATGGTAACCCCAAAATCTCCGATTTTTCCAAAAAAGCGCATGGTCTGATGTGTTGTATTTCCTGAAATAGCATGAAAACTAATTTCGAGAATCTTTTCTTCCGCTTCCTCCTCTTTGGTAGTCTCCTCCAACGGCTCGTCAATAGAAGGAAAAATTCCTTCTATTAAAAATAACTTCTTGCAACGATGGCTTGGGGAAAATTTTTCGTCACAATTGAAGCATAATTCGTGCATCCTCCTTTCTTGCAACTCAGTCGAACTCAACCTCTTGATGGTGGGGTTACGAGCGCGAGTAAGGGATGCTGAGGGTAAGGGTGGATGTCCCATGGTGGATGGAGCATTCGGAGGTTCCACGTACCCTCTCTTCTGTTGTTCATACATACGAGACTCATAAAATCGCGCCAGACCGATAGCGGCGGACAATGAAATTGTATTACATGCTTGCACATCAACCCGTATTGCATTCTTTAACCCGCTGACAAAGCACCCGATTTGTTGTTCTTCAGACAAATGGCCAGCTCGATGTAACAAACGATCAAAGTCCATTTGGTAATCGCGGATGCTTCCTGTTTGTTTAAGCTTGGTGAGATCCCCAAAGAAATTTTGGTATCTTGAAGGCCCATATCGTAAATGCAACTTGTACTTGAACACTTCCCAATTGACGCCTTCTCGCCGATTTTTGAAACGTTGATACCACAATTGGACAGTGCCATCCAAGTGATAACCGGCCAAGGGGAGTTTTTCCGTTTCTTACGTGCCTTGGAACTCGAAAAATTTCTCCACTCGACAAATCCATCCGGTTGGGTCATCCATGCCATTGTAGCGTGGAAAGTCCAACTTAGTGATTTTGGGTGCGAGAGAGCCTCCTCCCGAAAGGCTATGACGGGGCCCGCGAGAAGACTCGACATCATCCTTATTTACTCCAACACGCGTAGAAAAACGAGCAAACATGCTCTCAATATGTTTCAAGTGACGTTCTTCACCAGCTTTCATAGCTTGTTGTAGTTCCTTTTGGCCTGCAGCCAATGAGCCATGTTCATGCTCCACATGCTCGAGACGGTGGTCGGACATGCCTGTCTCTGATACTAAGTTGTTACGTGCTTGAGTTTGCGATTTTGTAGCGGTTTTGTGAATGAGTAGATAACGAGTATCTTCCTTGCGTGCTCCACCTATGTTGGTAATACTGTAGGATACTTCGAGGGATCCTCGACCTCCTTAGTTTGTTTAATTTGAGAAAAACGAGAAAAACCACTTTCATTATTGGCCTCAAGCTAATAAATAGTCGAACAACCTTTGGATGGAATAGACAATAACTCATTCTTATGGAAAGGAAAATTACAATAGCATAATTCTAGCACTAATTTATTGAAAGGAAATAACATTAATGTAATTATTGGTGGTAAGCATCAATCACTCACATCTTATTTAATGTAATTATTGATGGTAAGCATTGATCACTCCCATCCCCTGATTCTTAGTCCCTGAGAGTATGTCTGTTGAGGAGCTTGTAATGAGATGTGGTGCATAGAGTTTGCCACTATCAATTTAGAAGGTTAATCAGTTATCTTCACGTATCTTTCTTCGTCCATCATAAAGTTTTAATAGCTAAAATTTAAAGTAGCTTTCTAATTTTTAGATACTTACAATCTTTGCCAATTAAAATTTGTAATGATTGGAAAACTTGTATGAGGTGAAAATATTCTATCCTTCTAAAATGGTAGTATTTATTCCGTGGAGCGTATTAATTTATCTGTGTGTATATAGTTACAATGCATTCATGCTCCCTTTTAGGCATTTTTAAGGAAAAATGATAACTTAATTAGTGGCCTATTGCTAAGCATAAATTAGGAGCTTATAAATGGATTTTTAATTCGAACTTGGTTTGATGTAGTTTTTATTTTATTTTTTTATTGGTGAGGAAATGATTTGTTAATTTGCACCTAGCACTTGAAGTGTGGGATGGAGTTCAAGTAATTCCTAAAAATGGTAGTGCTTTTGACTAGCTTTTATGAAGGGTACTATAGTAGGTGCCTACCAAGACCTCTCAGTGATGCTAACAAGGGCCAAGGGCAGCACATAGGCAGAGTTGGGACTCCTCACCATACCAAAAAGGCAGGTATGAAGGACAAGGAACTGGACTCTATGGCGATCAAGAAGTCTTTGCAATGATAACTGATGGAGTTGAGGTGGTTATTGAGGGCTACTTCATTGCAAAAAATGTAAATATAGGCGTGCGTCGAATTGGTCTTTGGCACATAAAACTGATCTTTGTGAACCTTTGTCTTGCAATGCCGAAGCAATGGCAAAATTGCATATAAAGCTTGGAGCTTACTCTCTTGAACTTGGATTTATAACTTAGCAATGATGCCATTTTGTTAATGCTTCGGCATTTTTTTCTACATATTTTCCCCCATCATAAGCGGTGGATTTTTATTGAAGGGGAGAGTCTCCCCTTCTTTCTTCTTTGCCAATGTGGGACTAAAGTACCTGTAAAGAAGAGGGAGGTTAGTCACTCTAGGCATTAGAGAAGAAGAGATCCATTGTTTAGGAATTTGATATGAAAATATGGCCATGATCAATCATTATCGTGAGTTGTTATGCACGATACACGTATATTTACATGTGGATTGAATCCTCCGGTGAGCGTGAGGAATAAAAAAAAGGCATCTTAAACTTTCTTTCGGATTCAATGGGGTTCATTTTTGGCCTTTTTGTCTACATGGAAAGGCTTTGGCGTAGAAGGAGATTGATCTCCTGCACTACTCCTAGAATGTTAATGTGGACGACTTATATGGGTTGTAGACAAGGATAAACAATTAAGAGGCACAACTCAGTTATATATCCTTGGTGCCAACATAATTGAGATTGGTTTTTTTTCCTTTGGGTGCTGGATAGCGCTCAGCTCATATAAGCATGCATATCATTTTTTATAAGGTACTTCGTGACCTTATTTAGTTTACAAAATGCAGGCTCTGGCATGCATGACAAAGTACTGCTTGGTAATGCTTAAGCAAAGTATAGATGCAGGCAACTGCCAAAAATTTTTCTTTATTTTTTTTTCATAGATATGAGATGGAATTGGAGGATAAAAAAAGTTGGTGGCAGCTCTTGTTAAGCTAGCAAAGAATATGCTCATGTTAGTATCAGTATTTTTGGTTTGCAGAGAGTTTGCATATGTTCATTGGCCTGATTGGTTGGTGCCTATGGCTTTGGAGGCCAAAGTATTGTGTTATGGCAGTTATTCGATAGCTGAAGTTGGGCAGCTTGGTGATTATATGATGAAAGAATCTCCATAAAAGAATGTACATCCTTTTGAGGTTTCTATCTTCTTGAGGTCCCTCGGTGCATGAGTAAAAAATTAATATAGGATATATTTTTTTCTAGCGCTTCTAATGGATACTTAGATATAGATATGATTAACCAGTGCAACAAGCATGCAACTTTTGCGAGAAAGTAGGCTATTAATCTTAAAAATTATTCTATCTTTTGATGAAAATTAAATGCGGTAAATTTTAATTTAGACTCTAGAAACTAAAGTCACTATAGTAAGGATCATGAAAGCCATACAAATGACTGAAATTTCAAGCAAAATAACAAATTAAACTTTAGTAGGTTTGCCAAAAATCAATCATGTTTTTAACAAATAGCAATAAATGAAGAGTTGAAAAGTAGGAGAGAGATTTTAGGTAGTTTATTACAGTGGATTATTTGTTAGACTTACTTTTTTTTTCCAAAAAAACTGCAGCTAGCTGGTATCAACATAGACCTCCTCTTGGTTTAACTCATAAATTTGATACCAATGACTTAGTTATCAACTATGTTTGAATGATGGTTCGTGACTCTTTTATCCACTTTGGACTGAGAGTTGTTATCATAATGACCCTATCAAGTATTTGACCGTATTATTTACTTTTGAATGTCCACACCACAACTAGCTCAGCTGGAGATGGTGGCCCTCTAGAACTGACATTATATGCTTCATTTATTATAAGTTGAGATGCATTTTGCTCTCATTTTTTTTATGCTTCATATGCTCTATTTATAAGAAGTTAAGAAATATTTTGCTTCCATTTTTTAATGGAGATTGCAACTGACTTTGTTGACTTGACAGATTACTTTGACAGTACGAAAAAGTCAGTAACAGATTTTGGCAAATATATTTTGCAATAAAAAAGACGTGCATGAACTTTGCAAGCACAATATGTCTGATCAGCAATGCAGAATTTTTATGGAGTAGAAATGTGCATAACAGAAAACTTGCATTTAAAATTTGAGTGTCACTTAAATAGTTTTGCTTTATGAGAACTTTTACAACAACAAACAACAACAACAAGCATTTATCCCAATAAGGGTCTGTTTGGGGCAGTTGCAGCTTAGCTACCCCAGGAAGCTATTGCGGGAAAACTGACTGCAAAAATTGACTGCTTGTTTGTTTGTTTTTTACAGTTTGAAAACAACTGCGTGACAGCTGTTTCTAGATAAATGATCATTTTGCCCCTGTGCAGTAATGTTGTTTGCAACAGAACTGTCATAACAATATATTTGATATTTGAAAAAAAAACAACTTCAGAACTGTAGAAAAAATAAGAAACACACACCTCACATAACAGTGAGTACTAAGTGCACTAGAAAAGAAAACAAGCATTAAAATTACATTTAAATAAATGATAATATTAATTTTAAAGTCCATCCGGTGTATATCCCAAGCTACGTCGCCCTTCGGGGATGTCATCCAACCCTGATCACTATCGGCAGTGAAATCTGCTATATTGTCTGCCACCGAAAGAATTCACATTTCTCTGAACCGTCTGCCCATTGTGGGCACCTGTAGAATTGTCTCCCGTAGCTATGTGCCCGACATGACGTCAGTATGGAAGATTGTAGTCCGCAGTGGCAGAGCACTCATTAGGAGGTCCTGGAACTCATATTTCCTGAATGATTAAAAAGACAATCCATTAGTTATAACAAAAGTTGAAAATGATAAAATAAGTAATTAATTACAGGTTTTTGCAGGCGTGAGTTCGTAGAAAACTCAGCATACCAACCAATGAATCAGTCATTACAAAAGAGAACCCACACCGCCACCACACCAATGTTAGCCGACACAACAACCACCAACACACCGTAACAACGACACCAACACAAGAACCGCACCACCAACACACCTCAACAGTCACACCCAGCACACCCTAAACCACTAGCACACCACAACTCCAACAACCAACATAAGAACCCACACTACCAGCACACCAATGTCACACCACAACAACCACACCAACACAAGAACCCACAACACAACAGCCACAAATATCACAACTAACGTAGAGTCCACACCACCAGCACATCCTAAACCACAGGCACCACAACCACCGACACACCACAACCAAATGCCCCACACTCCAACACAACAATCACAAGCACAATAATGCCACCAACATCATTGTCACAGCTTGCAGAAGCACCCACCACACATCACAACCACATCCACAGCCAAAAGAGCCACCAAATTCAAGCAAGCAAATTTGTACCACAAAGCCACATCTACCGCCAAATTCGATCGACACAACCACAAAGCCAAATTTGGTGGTTCTTCGAGCCACACTGCCACACCCACACAGACTCATCCACAACAAATTCGAGGCATACAAGAAATTCGAACCCACTGCCATACTCACACAGCCTCATCCACAGAAAATTCGAGCCACACAACAAATTCGAGCCACACATCCACACCAAATTCGAGGAATCCAAATTGGAGCCAGCAAATTCGAGCCACACAACCACATACCACACATCCATACCACCGAACATCATTCATATCTAGCATCACAAATCCAACGAACAAACATTCACACTTGTTAAAAAATAAAAAAGTGCTTAGCGATGCGGAACGGTGGAGGAAGACGAGGAAGAGGAACCTGGCAGCGTGAGAAACGCGGGAGAAGAGGAGGAAGAGGAACCAGGTAGCGTGAGCAACATCGGAGAAGAGGAGGAGAAGATCGCAGCTTCCAAATAGGGCACGGGGTAAAGCCGAATGATTCGAGTTAGGGCAAGATATTAGAGGGCGCGGGGGTAAAAAGCCGAACGGGGACGCTGGGCCGCGGGGTCGGCGAGTGGCTCGCGTTTTGGTTAAAACGCCGCCCCAAACAATTTAAAAACACTACACGTTACTGCGCCGCTTCTCCGTCATCATCCCAAACAGACCCTAAGTCACGTCGGCTACATAAATCCTTTTCTCCATTGTGTCCTATTGAATGTCTTATTTTCATTTACTTTTCATGTCTTATTTTCATTTACTTCTAATAAATTAAGATCATTTTTTATACAACAAGCCCAAGTCAAATTGATTTTTTAAGGAATGCGAATATCTTAAAACCTCATGATCCTGGGATGAGCAGAGAAACTACCATTCCAGAAATTTACGATCTTATGATAGAAGTGGATATTTAGATTTCTGAAGTTACAATAATCCTGATAAAATCATTGGTTTATTGGAAATTACAAATTATGCTTTTTAAATCATATGCAAGGATATTGTTTTTTAATCATTTTCGTCCACCTATTGTTAATTTCATCAGGTAGCTTTATTATAGCTGCTTGTTAGAGGACAAAAGAAATTCTTGATGATGATTAGCTTTGCTATTTTTTCACTAATTTACAATTGTTATACGACCTCATGTATATATTATAGTATCATTAACGTAAGAAGCTATTATCGAAGGTCGCAATGCTGGATTTTGTGCTCTGTGTGCTCTTCAGAATCATGTCATGGATGCCCTACAATCAACCGGGAAAATATTGAGACCATTCCATCTTGTCAAGAACTTGAGATGTATCCAGTATATTACATCATGGTGCTTTTGCATGCTTAGCACACAATTCTTACGTATTTACAAATCTCACACAAACTTTCATATTTAAACGCATAACACTCAAATCTTTAATATCGCTTCAAACATAGCACTATTACCACAAAAGTGAAATACACCTTTTCATGCATAGATTTAAATCACCGAAGTGCTATGCATGTAAAGATGGAAGTTTATATGTGAGATACTTAAATACATAAGAATTGTTAATTTCTCTTACATCATTTAGAGTTGAAGATTCCATTAAATTAGTCTGTTTAGTTTTTGCCTTTGTGCTTTGCCAACCTATGAACGATATTATAGAAGACGAGCTTGCTTAACGAATATCAACTTTGTACTAGATTGTTTTTCTTTTTATTTTTATTTCCAAATTTGAGAATTCTTAATAAGATAAATAGACATATCTAGCAATTTTCGGTATTCTAGACAAGAAGATGCTCATGAATACATGGTTAACTTGCTTGAATCAATGCACAAGTGCTGTTTGCCTAATGGAGTCTCAAGTGAGTCTCCTAGTGCATATGAAAAGAGTCAAGTCCACAAGATATTTGGTGGCCAACTAAGGAGTCAGGTAAATCATCACGGGAGTTTGACATGTATCTAAAAGGATTTCCCGTCGTATTTTTTTCTCTTGAGGTTGTTATTTTCTGTTATAGGTAAAATGCTTGCGGTGCTCGTATTCTTCCAATAATTTTGATCCTTTCTTGGACTTGAGTCTGGAAATAATGAGAGCAGATTCACTTTACAAAGCACTTACTCATTTCACTGGTTTGGAACTACTAGATGGTGGGGAGAGACTATATCAATGTCAGCGCTGCAAAAAAAAAGTTGAGGCTTCCAAACAACTCACCATTCATAAGGCCCCTTATGTGCTGGCCATTCATCTTAAGCGTTTTGATTCGGGTATTAATGGAGAAAAACTTAGCAAGAAGGTGGTGTATGGGCCCACATTGAACCTGAACCCGTTCATCAGTGACCCATGCGTGAGTAGATATTTTACATGTTTTTTCAATTTTTTTCAATATGACTAACTCTTAGCATCCTTGAGTTTTTTTGTTTCTTTTAATTCTCATTTCCAATATAACAGGAAGGTGATTACAAATATACGCTGTACGGTGTTTTGGTTCATGCTGGATGGACAACCTATTCTGGTCACTATTTCTGCTTTGTTCGGACCTCAACTGGCCTGTGGTATTGGCTTGATGATAACCAGGTTAGCATTTTCGGAGCCATGTTTAATACATATGTTTTTTTAAATTTGGCATGCAAAGCCTCTTTGAAACCTCTCAAGGATCAAAGATCACTTTTTCATTGTAAATTTTGATAAATAACTGAAGCTCACTTTTATAAGCGACTTGAAGCGTTTTCTTTGCTGAAATTGGATGGAATTGAGTTTTTGTTTGGAAATTCACCTTCAAAAAGGAGATAAGATGAGTGAGTTTCAATCTTGAGGCTGATGAGGTCACCTTAAAATTAATTTTATATTTCCTCTTTTAATATGAATAGAATAATATTAAATTAATTGATGTGTGTTATGATTTTTACTTATAATGATAATAAATATGGGGTGGAAAAAATGAAATTTATTTCAGTTTAAACATATATAGAAATCGTGGTCACTAGAAATGATTTCTTGCAAATTAAATTGATATTACTGTAACTCGCATTAATGTGACTCATTTCCGAAACCAAGATCCAAATGCTTCTAACTGTTTACATTGCACCAAACTAGCCCTAAAGACAACAAAGAGGCATTTTTCACATAAATTATAGACAATGCATTCTCCTTCTTTCCCCGTAAAAAATGGAAGAAAATATATCCCTCTATTTTTTTATGATGATTATGTGGACATTATGAGCAATGTCATTAAATGCACTTGACGCACTCATGGAGATATTATTGTTCAACACCTGAGGTCCTAGGTGCTACTCAAGGTGCTAAGTGTCATCATGGGTGCTTTCCCGAAATGAGATGCTAAGAAAGAAATAACAAAATCACTTGTAAACTAACCTCAAGTGTGCAAAATATTGCTTAAGAGTATGAAGTATAATCATCACACTAAAATAAGCAGGGATGAATCTTCAATTTTCATTGTTTTCCAAGTTCAAAATTTTTGGTAATTAAATTATCTTGAACAAATACATTACATAAGTTTATGTTATTCATGCTCTATGTATAATATAATCTTCCTTATCATCTATTTCAACCATACCTTCATTTTATAGTCTCGTTTCTATTAATGGATTTCTCATCCTCGGTTTCTACCGCAATCTCTTAGTAATCTTGACAATTTACAACTCTCTTGTATCTATAGTTTTCACAACTTGTTTCTATGTACACATCAGCATTTCTAGGACTTTCAATCTTTATTTTACATTATTTTATGTGAAATTATTGGCCTGAAAATCTACCCATATTTTGCACTTGAAGTATTTGCATGCATATTGTCAATCAATTTAATGTGCTGGCCTTATAGCTTGGTGCCTTAGGAAAAGGTGTTCGGCCAAGCACACTTTAGTAATGAGACTAGCTTAGAAGGATTCCTAGATGCTATGGTGTCACCTTACCTTACCAGAGCACCTAGGTGTGCCTCGAACTCACCTTTAATATCACTGCATGTGAGAGACCTTTTTGCAGGAACAACGGAATGGGGTAATATTTTATATCGATTTCATCTTCTTTTTTTTGAATTTTTTATTTGCTTTTAGAGATATTGTTAGAATGAGATTGTGTATATTTTAATTTGTTCTTGTAAATTTTTATTTGTAAATATGCATGGCTTCATAATAGTGGATCGAATCCTTTCTTATCTTTCACTGAACCATATGAATCTTAGTATATTTCTAGTGATGTTTGATCTCTTCTATTATTAACATTTATTTTCATTATATTCAGTCATTGAAGTAGTTGCTTTTGCATAGAAGTTGGGTATTTTTAATAACTATCAATTGATATCACAACCAAATACATATTGTAATGACTACATGTCAAAAAAATCAGTTTGATGGTTCAAATAATTTTGTGTTTTGGAGAACCGATATGCGAGGTGCTCTACTTTTGTGAGTATTCATGAGTTGTTCAACTACAATTAAGACTATGAGTGAAAAGGATATGGTCGAGATCGATATTAAAAAAAAAACACTCATTTGATGATTTAGTTATGCTTGATGGATGAGATCTTGATGGTGGTTGTCGGCCGTTTTTTATGTTCACCTTGACTTTCGTGGTTTGAAAGGGTGATGATTTGGTGATTTTGAAAAAA